GTTTCGCTGAGCAATACTGACGTCTACTCTCTACAATTCTGGGCGCTGACTACCCAGTTAACTATCTAGCTGACTATCCAGGGACTCTGTGGGTTGCTGCTATATCCCCAGGCCCTAGAACAGTGCCTGGAACAAGTAACTGTTGGATAAATAAAGAATGAGTCACTTGCTCAACATACCGCCTGACTTCCACTCACTGGCATCTTTCCGAGAAAGGACAGGAAAGAACGTAAGACCCTTAGTCGTGACCTGAGGTGGTGCCGAAGGTTGAGCCAAGCAGCAGCAGCAACTGAGCTAGAGATCAAGGTCCCACAAGTGACCCTTGGGAGGTGCCAGGGCCCTGATGAAGTGTACAGGTGACTCATCACCCCAGCGATGGAGGCCCAGCCACCTCAGGTCCTGGAAACGGTGGGGACCCTGCCTGGGGAGGCTGAGGCCCAGACTCCCTTGGCACAGCCCAGGCTAGCGAGGGAGGCTACACATACTTCCCCCAGAAACAGCTGGGGAGGGCTTGTCATGGGTACCGTGCGCAGCGGGCCCTGTGGGTTGGGCCTCCTGGTGCAACCCAAGTGAGTGGAGCCTTTGGGGTAGAGAGCTGTCTCAGGATGATAAGTGGCTCCCTGTCTGATAGGCGCACCTGCCGTGTCTGCTCACTGTCATTCTGTAAGCGATGTCCTGTCTTTCAGCTGGGCCAGCATGAAATGTTCAAAACCCTCTGTTTGCCTGTAGGAGCCTAAATCACGTCCGTTAGGGGTACTGCTCTCCTAGAGGGCCAAGACCTCAGAGCTGAGGTCACGTGACACTCGCCGACTCTGCCTAGTGTCTGAAGAGCAAGGTACCATGAGTTTTCAAGGAAGAGATCCCGAAGCCTGGCCCCAGAGTGGTGGTAACCTTTTCCAAATATTACCCCTGGGTAATATTTCAGAGGACCCCAGCGCAGCCCCAGAGAGCCCATGTCACCACAAGTGCAAGTCCCGCCAGCCGTTTAGGGAAGATGAGCCCCTAAACTGACCCCTGTGTTGGAGGCTTTAGAAGCTCCCCTGGCAAAGAAGAGAGGAAACAGTGAGCTTTATAAAGAACCATATTTATTTTCATTTACAGCATCAAATACCATAAATAAAGCTACACATCATTTGCTGTGTGCAAAATACAGGGTTCTGTGTGGCACTGTAAATGATTACCAACGGTCACAGACATGCCTTGTGAGGAGATGGGGAGGCTAGCTAGAGAGAGGCTGGGAGGGAGGAGGGCTCTTTGGTTGACATTCTAGAAAGCAGGGGAAATTCTGCAAGAGAAGACAAGAGCAACAACTTTGTACTGGCCAGGCTCCGCAGCAACGCAGCGAAGGGTGCAGCATGCAGGGCTGGGCGGAGGCTGAGAGGTTAGGGGCTCTGGCCATGTGCAGGGCGGATATCAGCTTCAGTCCCGAGAGGCAAGGTCTGGCCTGCCGCAGCTCTAGGGCACTGACACGCTGCTTCTCTACAGGGCATGTGGGTGTCCTGCTGCTCCAGGTAAATGAGCCAGCGGGAATACGTGTCCTAAGCAAGCCACAGTATGGGTGAAACCAGCTGCCCCCGGGCTGGGGCTGAGTTGAACCATTTCTCAAAGGCCCGCCTGTCTTGTGGCCACGATTGTTCTGGCTGAAGCTCTTGAATCATCTGGGCTTTAGGAGCCCGGGGGGTGGGGGGGGAGGAGAGTTACAGCAAGGCCTCGCATCTAGGTGCAGGCTGTGGCGGAGGAAGGACTTGCTGGAGTAATTGTGATAAATCTCGCAGCACGAGCTTAAATGGGTTTGTGAAGAAGCCTGAGAGTGAAGGTGTTTTTAAAAAAATCCCTTCAAAATAATTTGTTCAGGATTTTGATCAATGGCATCGGTCATCTTTATATTCAAATCAATTTAAGAAGATGCTGCGAGGCATGACCTTTTGCGGGCGTTGCAAGACAGCTGTTCTTTGCAAAGGTGACAGAGTGCTCCCTACCTGGTACTGTCTAAGTCAGGGTTAACCCTCCCAAAAGGCAAGAAGCTTTGGCTTCCCAGGCAGAGCAGAAAGGCATGCGCATGGGGGGGGGGCAGGCCTGGGAACAGAGGGGAGGCGGGGCATGCACTTGGTGTGAACCAGGTTAGAGAAATCAGAACACAGCTTTCGAGCTGAACCCCACTCCATGCTGTTAACTCCCCCCCCCCCACGCTACCCAACAAGACTGTCAATACGTGAGACACTCACAGTTAGCTCAACCAGTGCCACCAGCGGGGAGGACAGGGTGCAGAAAGCAGGCGAGGGGTTAGTATCACTCTGAAAATTTCTGAGAGAGTCAGTCACCTCGGAGCAGAAGGGTGTCAGCCAAGAAGTGGGTGCAGTACTGGAAGGCTGAAGTGCACTGACGGCCACAGTGTAAGGTGGGAAAGAGAGAGAGACAGGAAAGAGATCTTAGCGTGGGAGAAGAAGGGACATGGACAACAGAAGGCACCACGGTTAAAAATAAGGTAACCATTTAAAAAAGGGAGACTTTCCCCCAGCAAGTCCCTGCTTGCTTAGGAGACACGAACCTTCCTGGTGGTGCGCGATACTTACTTAACACGTGTCACTGCACGGCATCTGCGTGCTGCCAGCGCTCCCCTGGGCTCCTCTCAGGGCCCGAGGCCCCCAGGCCGCTCCCCCACCTTCCCTCTGCCCTACTTTGCTGTGGGGTTTCAGGTTCATCCTTGATAGGGAGTGGAGGCCTAGAGGAGCTGGTTCCCCTGCCCCCGGGGACCTGCCCCTGTGTTGGTGCTGCCCACCAGGAAGTTCAAGGTCTCAGAACAAACAAACATCTCTGACCCGTGACAGGCACACCCTGCCCACCACAGCAATTCCAGCCAGTGTCCATATGGCGGCTGTCAGTGACATTCTTAGCGAGTCCACTCTGGCTTCACAGAGCATCTCAGCCCACCCTGAGCTGCTGGCAGTATAGGAACACAGCTGCCCCCATCATGACCCCAAGAATTTACTTCCTATAATCAAACACAAAAGGAATCGAGGGCTCCTCCCTGCGTGCTGAATGTTCAAATCTCAGCAAAAAATGGGAAAAACACAATGCGCGTATCATGCTAAGAGCACTTCCACCCAGGACAGCAGTGCTGGTTTCCACAGACACGCCCCTGTCTTTCCCAAGGATTTCAGGGAAATGTCTGCAGAAACGCACCTGCTTCATTCTTCCCACCCTATAGAAGTCTGCTGTCTCAAAGCTAACAAAGAGCTCTGGCTCCTAAGTCACACCAGGCTCCCCCCTCAGTTAATCCAGGGGAAACTGGAGATAAGAGCTGCACAGAGTTCCACTGGGGCCAGCAACCCTGGCTACACTGACAATCACACAAGGGCTTTCTCTATTAGCCCCTTGATTGCCCAAGGAGACCCCGTAGCCCAGCATGTCCAGGCACAGTGGAGATAGCTGATGTCTCTTTTAGGCACCTACAGTGAAGAATGCATGTGGGCCCAGTGCTCAGCTTTTGCCCTTGACAGGGCTCGTCTCCTTGAATGGGTCACTAGGTAGCTTCTACTCCAGCCTTCAGTGGCATCAGGATTCAGCAGAGCGCCCTCTGTAGGTCAGACACCCTCCTTGCTAGAGCAGGGTAGAAATGGGTTCTGACCAGTCACGGCAGGGCAGCCCCAGGGCGGATCACCAAGAAGGCCATACTCTCAAGTGCTAACAAATCCTCATGGGTACCCAGGGCGCTGAGGGAAGGGGCAGCTTCTTCCACTCCACTTGGCCTGACTATGATGGTCCTCAAGTGGCCTTGGCTCAGCCTACAACCTGGACAGGGAACCTGACAGGGAGCCCCAGGGTCTAAGACGCAATCAGCTGCAGAGCCCGCTGCCAGCATTGCATCAGCTAGACACAGCTCTCCCGGGTCTCACGCCATCGTCAGTGGCAAGGAAAAATGCATGTCTGCGGCAGACTGGTTGGAACTTGGTGGCTCTGTGTCATTTGGCTATGATTTGATATAGGAAAAGCTCTTTCAGCTTCTATTTTACATTAAAGCGAGGTGAGGGAACAAAAACAGTTCTGCTCTCTCTGGGAGGGCAGGCAGTCAACACACGCTGTGCGTTCGCAGGTTTCATGCTATTTTATCCCTGTCTTCTTTTCTTCTAAAATCAACACACTTTCGTATTACAACATAAATCACACACACACACACACACACACACACACACACACACACACACACTGTTGACAAATGGCATCAGTTACATAAATCGAAAGGCACTGGCCAAGAGATGGCCCTTTCATTTTCGCACACATCGAAGCCCAGGTCACTGATGTTGTGGGTCGTGACTGTTGCAACTCACTGAACGTTGCAGAGGCCTTAAAACCCATTATAAAGATAAAACCCATGTTTAGGAAAATTGTCAGTCAGAGAAAAATGCTTTCTCTTGGCTTACTGAAAATTAAAAATTGAAATGTAAACCCACAAATATGGCTCGCTTTGGTATAAAAATGTATAAAGCTATAGTAAAAAACATCCTTCATGTCATCCCAGCCCTAGCACCACGAGCAGATGTTCACCCTGTGAAGGCCAGGGGGAGGTGACCAGTGTGAAACTCTTTGGCTTGGAGCTAATGGGTGACAGATGCTAGACTGCCCGGCCAGAGCCTCAGCAAGCCTCAGCAAACACAGTCATCTAAGCTCTGGAAACGGTAAGGCACTTTGGGGCAACCAGGTGCTTCACTGGAGCTTGACAGGCAGCCACCTGAGCACCCAGTTTCGGATGCTCTCGAGGGAATCCTCAGGCTCCCTGTACATGGTCGCCAGGACCTCCAAGAAGGCCCAGAGGAGCGGCAGCCCAAGGCTCAGGAGCTCATACGTGTAGCGGTAGTTGTGAGCATTGTCCCTGAAGTGGAGGCTGGCGGCGTGCAGGAGGCCCTGCATCCAGTTAAGGAGGCTCCGGGGCATGGCCAGCAGGCCCCTCGACAGTCTGAGAGGCCAGCTCAGTGCCTTCCTAAAGAAGGAGGTGGGGATACCTGGGGGGCTGCCTTCCGGCGTGCTGATGGCGGCCACTGCGCAGGAACTTTCGGGGGCGGTGTCTCGTCGAGGGGCTTCCTGTCCCTGCCATGCCCCGTCCTCCTGAGAAAGAGATCAAAAGGACTTAGTCCACGCATCTCCCCAAGGACTCCTCCAACAAAGCCATCAGAGAGCTATCTCCAATTAAATGTGGGTTCCCTGGTTCTGCAGTGAGCTCCCCAATCATCTCCTCCTCTCCTTCATGGTGCTGAGTGTGGACATGACTTTGTTGGGGGGCAAACGGACCATATAGTTTATGAACTTTCAAAATGTACATGCTCAAGGGCTAGGGATATAGCTCAGCAGTATAAGCGCCAGCCTGGCAAGCGCAAGGTCCCGGGTTCCATACCTAGTACTACAAAAAAACAAACAAAAAAAAGAATTATGGGCTGGGGAGATAGCTTGGTAGTGTAAGCACCTCCCTAGAAAGTGCAAGGACCTGGGTTCCATCCCCAGTACCACATGCTGTGTGGGCCCTAGAACCCCCTGCTGGCCAACAAAACCAGGAGTGGTGGTGCACACCTAAAATCCCAATGCTGGGGAGGCTGAGACAGGAGGATCACTATGAGTCTGAGCTGCCTAGTGAGACCCTGTACCAAATAAATAAAAAGATTTTTAAAAATGTACATGCTCTTTGACCTGCTACCCTAATTGTAATAATATAAACTAAATAATCTGAACTACAGATAAAGCTCTGCATAAAAGATGTTCATTACAAAAATATTTGTAAGATAACAAGAAACGATGTGGAAGTCCAGTAATATGGAATGAGTGAAACAGATTATCCACCGGGCATACAATAGAACCTTTCGTAAGTATTAAAGTTTATACTTGCAATAATTGTTGAGGTCACAAAAAATTGTTCTCACAATACTATTTTGGAAAAAGGTAAAGGTGTAAAATTGTAGAGGTAGGAGCCCAACAAGGAACAGGGTGCGAGGGGATATTACGCAGTGGCTGCTGGGTTTTTCTTGAGGTAGAGCGCTTATGTGTGATTCGACTTTCCTTCTTTATGTGCTTTTATTGATTTTCCATTCTTCCACATTGGGTCTGTATTACTTGTATTGCTAGAAAAAGTTTTAAATTGCTGTTTTTTTTCTGGCTTCATCAAGCCAAATAGAAGGTACTGACAATTAGCTACCTTTGGGGCGCAACCATAAATCATCTATAAATGAAGCGGGTCTGGCCCTTGGCTGACACCAGGATCTTGGAGACATCTTGGAAACTGCAGATGAGCTCCACACCAGCGGTTTCTCCTGCAAAAGGCACGCTATGGCCAGACGAGCCCAGGCACCACGTGGCTTCTGAGTGGCTTTAGCATGTGGTCACCCTAGCACACACTCAAGCTCTGCTTAGCAGCTCAGAGGAGCAGGGCCAGCCCTAGAGGCCCGCTGAACACACCCAGGTGACCCGGCCGCCCACACCAGGAAGCAGAGGCTCTCTTCCTTCTCTGAGTGTAGTCTGCAGCCCCTGAAGACCTCCTTCAAGGGGTCTTCCCTGTCCCACTGGTTGCACTTCTGAGACACAACATACCTCTCTCTCTTGCTTCAACTCTGTCCATTGCTTCCGCTGCTTGCTGTTGGTTTTACAGTGAATAAAGTGAGGCTTGCAGTAAAACTTGCCTGTGAAAAAGAGACGCACATCATGTTTCTCCAGAATGTAGCAGACACAAGTCACATGCTCCTTATGACCAAGTCAGAGAACACCAACAGTGGGAGCAAGCCCGGAGCAGCTCCACCTTCTGTCACCCGTGTCAAGAAGTGGCTCAGAGATGAGGCAGCTGCACACCTCACTGCTCAGAAAAGGTCCAGCAAAAGGGAGGGTAGGTGGGTAGGGCTAAAATCCTCAAGCCAACACCCCCAGTCCTCCTTCTTGGGGTCTCTGTGGGTGGGGATGGCTGAGAGGCAGGACTGTGGAAGAGAAGACACAGACAAGGCACATGCTGGCTAGCTGGCCACTGCCCAGGACCAAGGACAGCTTCCAGAGAAGCCTTTCTGTATGGTAATGACGCTAGTCACAGGGACACCCAAGGCAGGACTTACTGTATGCCAGGCACTGTTCTAGGTCCAGAAACTAACCCATCAATTCTCAAAACAACCTTATGAGCTAAGTGCTATTATGATCTTCCCTTCATAATCAAGGAAACTGAGGGAGTAAGAGGTCAGCAGGCTAACCAGCAAGAGGTTGATAAACTAGCAAGGGGAAGTGGCTGACAGATGGGAGACTGGACTTCTATCCAGACAGGTTAGTAGGAGGATGCCTAGTCCACAGTTCTACAATACACTACCGTGACAGTGCAATAGCAAGGGCCGAGAGCTAGACAACACTCGTTCACTCCCATGAGCATAATCCCTTCCTCAGTGATCTTGGGTAGGCCGCTTACCGGAGGAGATCTTATGGCTATGGTTGAACTGTAACACATGCTTTAGAGATACTGGTAATATACCACCATTTATTAAACCCCTGTTCCATGCAAGGTGTGCTGCTGGGTGTGTTAAATAGGTTATCAGGTTTGATTTTCTGGGTCACGCGGGGACCATGGAAGGTGGCCAGGCTGAATGAGACAGCGAATGCACAGCCCTCTGCCATGGCAGGTGCTACCTCTGCCCATTACGCCGCAGGCACTGATGCCTCCGTTCCCTTCCTGGCAGGAGCCTCTGGGCTCCTTCAACAGCTTTCCTGAAGATCCTGGATTCCTTGTCAGAAAGTGGTGGGTGTCCCAGAGCGTCCAGAGGCCCAGGAATGCAAGGCAAGCTCCAGCGTGGCCCAGCCCTTAGGGTTACCTTCTCCACAGTCAAAGGCGTAGGTGGCCAGGCGCAAGGTGGTGGCACAGAGGCTGCAGCGGAAGCACTCTCGGTGGAAGAAGTGGCCCTCGGCGCTCAGCCGCTCCATCACGTACACGCGCTTCTTACAGAAGTAGCAGGTGTCACTGCCGCCCACGTTCAGGGGAAACATCTTCCGTGTGGATTCCTGGGGCGGGGAGGGAACAGCAGGGTGGGAGGGCCAGTGAGCCTTTGGAGGTCAGGCCTCGGCTTTTAGAAGTTCCCAGCCAGTCACCAGGACCTCTGGGGCCCTATTCGTGTCTCACGTGGGAAGATCTACTCCCAGCCGGGACCTAGCACCGCAGGGACTCCTCAGGCTAGCATATCTGGTCCTGTGTGGGAGCGACGCTGCCTGGTCTGACGCAAGGGCATCACCCTAAACACGGCTGCTCAGGGATGTCCCCTCCAGGACCTGTCCCGGGGTTAAGTGGAGTCCAGAGTGCAGTCACTGCTAGGGCCCTGCTAGGGCCTGCTCCCCTGCAGTGACTTAGGTCAGGCGAGAAAAACTGGTGGCCTCACATACAATTGAGACAACAGAGAAAAGGCACAGCCTGGCTCTTGCAGACCCCTGGCTGCCAGATTCCCAGAAGCAAAGTGGGAGGGCCGGGGCAGAGAGGGCTGGCTCAGGGTGACTCTGGGGCTGAGGCCTAAGGAAACTGGAGTTACTGATCAAGCTCATCGTGGGGATGGCAGCCAGAGGCCTCACGTGAGAAGGGAAAGGTGTGCTTTCGTCATACTGGTTTTGCAGTCTGATGCACAGGGCCACTCAGGCTGGTCACTAGGCCCTGAAGGTCAGGGATACTGGACTAGGTGGACAGCCGCAGGTAACCTGTGCACTGAGTGCTGCTTCAGAGCCACAGAAGGGGGCAGGACATTCTGTCTTGGGAATCAGGCACAAGGACCCAACTGGTCGTTGTTCTGTCACCGAGGAGATATAGGTCCTTCTGACCTCTGCTTGGGCCCACCCCATTCCCAGTGCCCTCGGGTCCCTTGAGAAAGGCAGCCTTCAGTGGCCTGAGCATGTCTCTGCACCCAGCACTCTCATCCTGGAGGCCACAGCCTGTGTCCGACAGGTGAAGGCTGACAGGTGCGCATCCTTACCAGGTCTGGAGAGGTGGCCTGGGGCTTAGGTCTGTGATCATTCAAGTACAGATTGACCAGGACTTCCGCGGCAGCCCCTATTCCGCTGGACACTTTCCCTACTGTCAGCTAGCCAAGAGCGGAGGCAGAAGAACAGAGACAAAGGAGAGGCCAGGTTAGCGCCCAGGAGGAAGAGTCGGCGAGGCAGGACGTGGGCTCTGCAGCCCATGCAGCAGCCACAGCCACGGGACAGGCAGACAGACACACTGCCAGGAGCAGGTGGCAGGCGTCCAGTGATGGAGAGCGAGCAAGGAAGAAAACTCTGAGGCCCCCGAACAGCCACATATGCTAAGATTCTACTTCTCGTGGTGCCCAGAGCCATCAGAGTCAGACACAGACAGGAGAATGGTCTGTGGACACAGCCTGGAAGAGGGGCAATAGGAGTTATCGTTGATGGACACAGAGTTTTAATTTTATAAGATGAAAGAGTTCTGGAGATGTGCGGTGGTGATGGGGGCACAGCATGGCGAATGCACTTGATATCACTGATGTGTACACTTAAGGTGGTTCCAAAGGTAAAGCTTAACTGTCTTTTAACACAATAAAATATTGGAACATATATTTAAAAACCTATGGCCCTGAGTAAACCTGGAGACTGGCAGGAAAATATCTACTGCAGCTGTGGGAGACTCACTGAACCTCTAGATGCACAGAAGGGGTGAATGAATCCCAGAGAGGAGAAGGGATCTACTTAGTACATAAATAGAAGGTTCAAGAAGGTTCTGGAAGGCTCCGGAAGGTTCTCCGGTCTCCTGACCACAGCCTGGGGCCTTCAAGCCTCTCTCACCCAGGGCTGGGGGAACTGTGCTGTTTGGGCCCAGTAACTACACATAAGTGTGCATCACACTTGTGTCACCAGAGCCTGCAAGAGCCTCTGGGACAGGAAGCCTAGCAAAGGAGAGTAGGATTGGGAACCAGTCCTCACAGACAGATGTGTGTCTGTGGGACCCCTCTGCCAGAGAGCTGCCTTCTCACGGGCTGGGGCTGCTGAGTGGGCAGCGGGGCCTACCCGGGCCTGGGACCCAGCTCTGCCACTGAAGGGTTGGTGCTGAGCTTCCGAGATCCAGCTCCTCAATGAGTAAACTGGGGATCATCATACCCGCCTCACGGATTTATGGAAAGGGCTGAGTGAGGCAAGGGTGTTTAAGTGCGTGGCACTCAGCAGACTCTGGGCCT